ATCACCTCCATTTTTTATCTTCATTTCCAAAGATGGGTGGAATGTTTTTTAAAGACTGACTTATTGATTGATGAAGCTGACTCTTTAGTCTGTTGCGCTATTATGTGTTTTCACAAGTAACACACGAGGGATGTAAAGCATATTGTGCTTGGCACCACAACAGACGCAAGTATAGTACGTCCAGTTTTTGCTCATTGCAGATAGAAACTGCAGAGCTCCAGTCATCCTGTAACCTTTGCAGATATATTATATAGTATATATATATATATATGATATATATATATGTGTATATATATATATATATATATATATATGTAGTATATATATATATGTATATATATATATATATATATTTATATATATATATATGTTATATATATATATATGTGTATATATATATATGTGTATATATTATATATGTATATATATATATTATGTTATATATATATATGTGTATATATATGTGTATATATATATATGTGTATATATATATGTGTATATATATATATATTGTGTATATATATATATGTGTATGATATATATATATATATGTATATATATATATATATATATATATATATATATATATATATATATATATATATATATATATATATATATGTGTGTGTGTTTATATATATGTATATATATGTATATGTGTTATATATATATATATAATATTATATATGTATATATATATATATAATATATATATATATAAATGTGTGTAATATGTATGTATATATATATATATATATATTAATTATATATAATAATATATATACTATTATATAATATATTATAATATGGATTACACACACACACACATATAATATATGATATAATGGCAGGTTATGTAGAGGAGAATAATATGTCATGACTCCATCATGAATCATCATTAATTTGCAAATTCGGAACATATTTTAATGATTTAATTTCCACAAAAGTTATTTGACACAACAAATCACACCTTTCAACTTTTCTTTTATTTTGAAAAGATTTTTAATTTTTTCTATGGACACCTAAAATGTAACTGTGCCCTTTGGGTTGACTTTTGTTTAAACGCGGTTTAGGCTATAAATGAAACAGACGTGACAGTCAAGACAAAAAAGGTTCAGATATTTTTTTTTGCGCATGTTTGAGGTATAAAAAAAAAGATAATTATTCAACACACTTTAGTGGGCTACATACTGAACTTTGAGGATAGAAACACAGTAAAGATCCTATCATGCTCTTATTGATCTCATACCGATATCAGTATTGGTATCAGTACTATTGATATTTAGATGAATCTAGAAAACACTACAATGACACCCGGGTGGATAAGCTAAGAAAATGGATGGATGAACTCCTTGAGGCATCAAGCATAGAGTCACAAGGGTGCTTCCTCATGATGTACATGCTATGAGTTTCAAGGTTTCCATGCCAGCGATGTGTGCCTTCTTGGCACAGATGAGTATAAGATATGCGAGGGACACGCAGACAGCAAAGACTTTCCACGTGTTTATTCTCGCTTCAACATGTCCGTTTTAAACACGTTAAAATGATGAGTCAAACATCACGTGGCATGTCCTCATTTCAGAGACCCCGTGTTCGTTAACAGTGTGATCGTTTTCAAAAGAGAAGCCTTCAGAGCTGCGCTGCATTTCAGCTTCTGTGTGGGCCAATATTACAGCTGGTTTTCATGTATTATCACCAGGGTTATGACATATGAATAGTTGCAGTGTGATAAAGACTCAAAATCACAAATTGAAGTGCAAATTTAAGACAATTTATTTCAAGCAGATTTGCAAACCAGGTTGTCATCAAGTGCTTCAAAGCAAACAAACGCCACAAATCCAGACATGAACAAGAATAAACCAATCGACATGCTTTTCATTACCTACTTTCTGGCTGCCTCAATAAAAAAAAAAGAAAGAAAAGAGACAGTAAAACTGTGGGAACTCCTGAGACCCGTGCAATATCTGTTTTTGAGGCGCACTGTGGAATTAGTAACAGCAGTTCAAGCCTCCAATAAATTGTCAGGTATTGCACAACTCTTTACTTCAAGTCTAAGCAAGTGAACTATGCTAGATGATGACTTCAAAACATTTAAAGGGAGTTAAATTTAACTTTTCTCCCTATCTGATTTCCACGAATGAGGTCAGGTCAGTGCTGTGCAAGTTCCAGCCCTGAATTCTAGATGTTTCACACGTTGAGAAAAATAAAGACGAGCTCACTGTAAACCTGAGCAGACCCTCTCTGAATGGTGGAAAGATCCATACCAGTCAACACAACTTAGAAAACACAGATACAAAAACTAGTCTGTTGCCGCAGCGACAGACTAGTATCTAACATTTAATGCTACAGTCTGAAGTGAGATCCAACTTTGTTCCTCCACATATAAAGAAGCAGAATTTCCTTTATTGTGAAAGTTTATCAGAAATGTTGTTGCTGTTTTTTTGTGGTTCCATTTCAGGCTTCTCTCTGTGCCCTGTAAATACTACTCCCCTCTAAGCTGGAATGAGTCAAAGCAGTGCCATCTTGAAGAGGGGAGTCAGTTTGGCATGTATGAACACTTCCAAGCAACATATGATCCCCTTGCACATTTTAAGACCCCTCAGAGAAACATAAACCTCCTCATATCTTCAGATCGTCTATTCTAGTCTTGTTGTTGCTGTGTTTGGCACTGTGGCCAGGCCTGGCCTGCGTAGGTGACCCAGGGGCAGATCCTGCTCCCTTCTTTCCTTTCAGGTCACATTCCTCTGGCTTGCTGCTGCTGCTCCTCTCCACCGCCAAGTTGTCCTTGTTCTGTTTGTAGGCTGCCTTGCTGTGGTAGGGGTGGAAGGACGAGTCTGTGGCCGCGGTGTAGCACGGCACTGGTGGGTAAGCGGGCTGGACTTGGTGGTGCTCGTGGAAGTAGTCATCGTAACTTGGGGCAAACGGCACTGCAGTCTCGCCAGGCTCCTTGGAGATACTCCCATTGGACTGGTTGCGCCTCCTGAAGGTGATACCCTGGCTGCACTTGGTGAAACCCAGATGGTAGATCTCTATGAGGTTGAGGAACAGAGACACAGAGGCCACTCCAAGCATAAAGATGATGAAGATGGTTTTCTCTGTGGGGCGGGATATGTAGCAGTTAACCACATTGGGGCAGGGGGGTCTGTCACATGTGTACATGGGTTTGAGCTCAAAGCCGTACAAAAAGTACTGGGCCACGATGAAGCCCACCTCAAACAGCGTCTTGAAGATCACATTGAAGACATATGTCCGCAAAAGCTCCCCCTGCAGGCGGACTCGTCCCTTATTGTCTCTTATCAGAGCCTTCTTGTGCTTCACATCCACAATGAGAGTCTGTTTGTCTGATTGATGACTGTGCTCCTTTTCTCTCTCCTTTTCTTTCTCCTTCTGCTTTTCCTCCATCCGGACTAGATGGAGAATGTGCCCCAGGTATATCAGAGTCGGTGTGGATACAAAGATTATCTGCAGCACCCAGAACCGGACGTGAGATATGGGGAAAGTGATGTCATAGCATACGTTCTCGCAACCGGGCTGCTTGGTGTCGCAGGTGAAGCCCGACTGCTCGTCGCCCCACACCTTCTCTGTCGCAGCACTCAGGATCAGGATGCGGAAGATGAACAGGACAGTGAGCCACACCTTCCCCACGACGGTGGAGTGCTCCTGGGCTTTTTCCAGGAGCTTTCCCAGCAGGTTCCAATCCCCCATGGCTGTGAGAGGTCAGATCTAGGACTACAGAGGATTTGAAAATAGAAAAAGTTATTTCATCTATAGACTGTTGTACACAGCAACAGAGATTAAATGACTACAGTAAAACTAATCCTGAGCGTACGCCTCATCCTTCCTGACGACTAAAAATTCTCTTACCAAGTTCAGCAGAGATCAGAACAACCAAGTCTTTTGGGAGCCAAGCTGCTAACTGAGCGTCCAACTGGGCGGCCGCCACTGAGCAGGTAGTGGTCTTATCCGCGTGGGTGCAAACAGGATTATATTTACTTTGGGAGGGTATATATTTGGCAAGTGTGGACAGGAGGAAGGCAGGTTTCAGACATGATTCTGCGGCTCCTGGCCTTCATGACCCCCGCCATGGCAACACGAGCCACACGAAGTGAAATCAAACACTGGGCAGATGTGGTGGGAGTGTGAATTAGAAACAGTTGAGTAATGTTAGAGCTGTGAGCTCCTGTGACACATTAGGTTTTAAATAGATTCTGCTTCTGATGAATGGTCTATACAGTAGTAAGAGTGGAAGTAGAAGGTATGCTGCTCTGGAGGATGAATTCAGGTGTTGAAATGTGGCAGGTGGGCTGATGCTGAGGGAGCCAGCACCAGCTATCGCAGATTGGACAGCAATTTAAATATGGGACCCGCACTCCACGGTGTGAGATCCCACATTACAATGAAGAATAATGCCATCATTCGAGGAAAAAGAAGTGAAACAACTTCAACTTCTGTTCTCACATAAGACAGCTGTTAACCTGCACTTACAGCATTTGGCCACAGCATGAACCATTAATAAGTTAACTTTAGGTTTAGGACTATAATTTAAACTCCTGAAGAAACAAATATTTCAGTCTATAAAGCATAAAGTTAAAAAAAAAATCACAGAAAACTTACATTTACTGGAGAAAGTCACCGTGTCAGCTCATACATCCTCTGTGGCAAAGCTTCCCACGTCTGGCAGGGTCCATGAGGCCTCACTGCTTTACCGACTGGCCTCAGTGCAACACTAATCTTAGGACCCCCAACAATGCCCTTGAATGGACAGGAAAAGCAGACTCTTGCGAGCCACAAACTTAGTTCCACGCCGACAAGCTCAGTGACTCAGTCTTCTGTCTTCAAATACAACTCTCGCAGAAATCAGAATCCAGGCCCAGGGGTCTTTAGCCGGCCACAGCAAACATATGCACACACACTCAACCAAAGAACCAACCAACAAACCTGCTCTCCCTTGACCCTCCCTCCCCCCTCGGTTAAATTTGGCACGGTGTGCACTGTCCAGTGTAAACTATTAAACAAACCCCTGCTCGCATGCTACGGCGAGTGACAGGGCAGCTGGCCAATGATCTTGTCTGCTAAGTCTGTCTGGCCACAAGTGTTCCCGAGATCTAAATATATCACAAGGGTCTCTTTTCCTATCATGGGGGTGGAGATGGGATGGTGGTGGTGCAGGAATGATTTGGAGATGAACAACTACTGGCATCCTGAAGTTCCAAATCACAGTGACAGGAAAGGGGTAAATGTATTTATTTATTAAAAAAGCTGAGTTTCAATGAGTTAAAATCCTAGCTACTAAACACAACAACTCACTCTATAAACAGCTACTTTACATTTTATTTACATTTACAGGACAAGTGAGATGTTCACTGATATATCATGATGGTTAATACTAGGGTCTGTTAAACAGTACGTCAGCTGCAAACATTTATTTAAGCCCACTGGAAGAAAATTTTACAAAGATGAAAAGTAAGGAAAGGTATTCTAACTCAAGGATATATCTGCAGTAATGAGACTGGACAAATTCTAAGCTGAGGTACCTCTGCAGACAAGCGGAAAGGACTAACACCGACATTTTTAACTTTTTGGGGATTATGAGCTGAAAATTGATGAAGGTTTACCGACAAGTCAAAGTGAACACACATGTAGAAGCCACAATATTAAAACCGCTGATGGTTGAACATCCTTACAAAACAGTGTTCTCTGTGGAAACTTCTTTCCATGCGTGAGAGTGCTACCATCTGAACACAATAGATCAAGGTAGTAACCTGGCCTCCAAACTCTCCAGATACACAACTTCAAAAAGTCGAAGTTTCATGCTTCAGTGCATTTGAGCTCTTTTGATGGCATGATATTAGGCAGCTGGTTTCAACACTGTGGCTTACAGGCACCGGTGATGACATGGCAATCATGTTTGGACAGTATTACATTGTTTTGTTTTGTTTTTAATTGAAAATTTCTTTTCTAGCACCAACTGTAGCAACAAGCGGTCTACATTAAGTTCAGAAAAAATCAGTGACCATCAAATAAAATCTAACCACCATACTGTTAACAGCTGTTCAAGTCATTTTACCCATTTATATGTGCTTTCCTATACATCCACTAGCTTCTAATGGTTTCATTTTTTGAATTTCTCATCCAGCATTTCAACTCCTTCAATAACCTCTGATTTTTAAAGGACCAAAGTGATGTTTCAGAGCATTTCGGTTGACTTTTACCGTTACGTGTTTTCGTTTGTTTAGTTTGGAATCGTGGCGTCCACAATTTTCTTAAACTTCAGTATCGAATGATCTGCTATGGTGTGGACTTATGTACAGATTACAAACCCTTTTCCAAACAGCAATCTTTACAGACTTTTTGCACCAATTATAACTGGTATGTTTTAAATTGCTCATATTCAACAACAATTCTGTACACCTGTTTTATTCTTCTAAGAATACTGAGCTGCAACAACAATACAGCTGTTACAAAAACAAGGCATCACACTAATAGTCAGCCTAAGCTTGTCAACAACTTGACAAACTGCTATTTATACTAAAAAATAATATAATGGAAGCCTTCAGAAGCATTGTGGAATCCAGAAAAAAGAAAAACAAAGAAAAAAGCCCCTAAAGATCTAATCAAGGTAAGCTTGGTTTTACTGTAACAACAGCCACCTTGGATTTGAGTTAAAATGTTCTTAAGCACCAGTTTGGTCTTTTAATCTTCACTACAGACTCTAGTTTAGGCGAGAACGGCAGCCAATATTTGTGAGTAAAAATGAACAGATAAAAACAAGTATCTAAGATCCACTGACTGAATTATGTATAAATAAATAGCCAAAAAGCTGAAATTGACCTAATACACAGTATATATGTGACTTTAATGCATGAGATACTACGTGGTCAGGTGAGGTTACTGCTTATTAGTTCAAGAGAGTCTCAGAAAGCAGAACACCTCTCACCCCTCTCGGCTGGGCTCTTTTTGGTCACAGTGAACTTAGACCTGAGAGAATGATCTGCTATCAGCTGATTGATTTCATTTTGCTTGTAAGTGGACAATCTTTGGCTTATCCATGGTAACTTTGACTCGTCTTCAGAGCTGCGGAAGGACCGTTTGCAGGCCCTGCCTATGAGGTACACCACCTCTGCCAGGTTGAGCAGCACACACACCGCAGACACTGCCAGCATGAATACAGTGAATATGGTCTTTTCTGTCGGTCTGGAGACAAAGCAGTCCACCGTATTGGGGCAAGGGAATGAGTCACATTTCACCAAACGCACCATCTTAAAGTCAGGATAGATCAAGTAAAAGATGTAGAGAAAAGCCACTTCGAAAATTATTCTAAAGATGATACTGATCATGTATGTCCACCACAGAGCGCCCGTGATCTGAAACTTCTGGTTCTTGATGTGTTCCAGCTCTTTGGGACTACTGCGGCCTGCCCTCTTCAGGATCTTCTTGTCGATGTGCCTTCGGTGGGCTACGTGCATGGCCACTAAGAGCGCAGGGGTGGAGACCAGGATGAGCTGGAGCGCCCACAGACGGATGTGTGAAATTGGGAAGAACTGGTCGTAGCAGACACTATTGCAGCCGGGCTGCTGGGTGTTGCAGGTGAAGCCGGACTTTTCATCGCCCCAGACGCTCTCCGCAGCAACCACCAGGACCAGGATGCGGAAGATGAAGATGACAGACAGCCAGACGCGTCCGATGCCAGTAGAGTGCCTGTTTACACCGCTGATCACGGCATAAAAGGACCCCCAGTTCATTTTCGACTCCAGGTCTAGGGAAAAAAGGGATTAATATAAGTTTTTACAGGTGTAGGCAGTTACATGTGGGGGATGCTTTGCATCTAAAAATCACCCAAAATTCTAATTACTAAGAAAATTTACTCCCCCTTTTTTATTACTGGCATGAAGTCACAATGGCTTGCCAGTTAAATAAGGTCTTTAGACTGTAACTGCACACAAAACTTAGCATTTCAGAAAAAAAATCTAACCGGTGTAACATGAGTAGTTAGAGGTTTACCAGGCTCAGCCAGCGGTGCAAGCGGCGTAAGCAGCACCGGGTCCAAAGATGACCATCTTGAAGTATGACCTGAGCATCAAGCCGGATTTGGCAGTCAGGAACAACAGACAAGAATTGCCAAGTAGCCTGCCGGCTGTATAAAAACAGGGGCGATGGCCTGCCATCATGCACCGTCAGAAGACGCAACAGGTTGAAACCAATTGCAAAACATTTGCAGAACCACGTGATATGCTCATCCTGTATTAATACTCTACTCCCAGGCTGGCTTACAGCCCAACTGCAGACAGACTGACAGACTGCCAGCAAATTTCTCCAAGGGAGCAGCAAGACATGCATCTCATTGAGGCTTTCCTTTTTTTTTTTTCTTCCCTTGAGAGATCTCTATTGTTTGAGAATAGCTATGTTCTTTGAGGTTTTCCTTTAACAGATCTTAAAATTATGTGACTTTTAAAGCATATTCAGTAAAACATTGCTACCATAAAGGGAATGGTGATGAGACCGTAAGCATGCCAAGTATTTGCCAAGTCAAGTCACTGGGGCATGTCAGTCATCACTCACCCCAAATCCAACCTCTCACTGAATGTTAGTATAAAACAATTAGAAAGGAGATAACATGAATTTTTACCTTCAGCTGCTGGTGGTACACAAAAATGTGTACAAAATGGGAAGAAATAAATTCAAATTTGTGTTTTTTAGCGAGCCAAAAGGCTGGATTGAGAACACCATGCGTTTGGAAAATGCTAATCATTCCTCCGCCACTAGCCACTGCCCTGCACCGTAGCGGTCATATGCTCTTATATAAACTATTTACATACAATGGCACCCTTTATGGGGCTGCAACAAGACTCTTTCAGAATTCAGATCAAACGCCTCGATTTCCGCCTACCCCGGGGCAAAAGAAAGAATCTGTGTGGACACAAAAGGCCTCAGCCTGCCACATTATTTATTGTGCTTGGCAGGGCAGGGAAGTGAAGGACGCTGTTGACCCGAGTCACTGCTGCTGCGACATTAACAGGTTTACGAATTCACACAGATTATATATGAACTAGGGAACTACTGCATAGTCTAATGGTGTGGCTAATTTGAATGCTACAGCACTTTAAAAGATTGATTTGATTAAATTGTCATTTGCACTTTAAAAATAAAATACAGCTTTAATTTTTGATGTTATCTAGACTTTTTAATTCCAAAAATACTAGCACAAGAATATATTAACCCAGTCACACAGGTTAGTTCAGTTAAGTCCAATATAACATGTTACCAAATGGTTCATATTAAAAGTTATTATTTACATAGCACCGTCAACAGGTTAGTTGTGGTCACACCCCCTTCCACGTAACAGAAACCATGATTTACGGCAACACAACGTGGTCGTTTGTCATGTACAATCAGATGACACACAGTGGCTCGCTGTGCCATGGGTTTTCCTGCATCACTCGCAGGCCGTACCGTCACTTCTGACAGTGTAGTGGGAGGGTTTGGGTGGCCTGCTAATAATCTGAATGAACTGCACCTCATTTACATTCTCTCTACACAAGGAAGAGACACAAATGTGCAATTGTAGCGAACACATCTTTATTTCAAAGGCAAATCTGCACAAATAATGATAGGTTTGCCATTGCATAAGAACAATATTATTAAGTCAGCAAAGCTTTTCTGTGATCAAAGAAAAATTATACATTTAAAAAACAAAACCAAAAAAGACCTGTTGTACCATGCAGATAAGGTAATAATACAGATATGAATACAACTTAATAGAGAGCGGGTAATCAGACTGAGCAGGCACTGTCTAGTGGCTAAAAATAAGCAGGACTTGAAATACAGTTCTGTTCTTAAACACAGCAAAATGGAACAGGTTAACCAATATCTTTAAATTATACAGTCAAAATAAAACAAGCAAAACTAGTTTTGTATGCTTTCCCTGTACATAAAGAATAAAAGCTCGAGATACAAAAGAAAAACATGACTTAATGTGTACTAGTCCAGTTAATCCTTTATAAATCTACTTTTAATTTCTTACACACACACACACACACACACACACACACACACACACACAGAGAAATTACTACCAACCATTATGTTAAAAAAAGCAAAATAAAACAAGCAAAACATATTTCACTCAAAGAGAGTCCCACTTTGTAAAAATCTGTATTCGCTGATGACAAAGATGATATATTTCACACCCACAGGGGGAGACAAATGTCAGCAAATAAACTAATGTCACAAACATTTTGCATACGCCCAAATGCCACAGTATTTATATAGCATACTGATAAAGTGAAAGCTTTGGTTTCACATCTGTCATATTTTAACTGTGATGAACTCCACAGGACAGCAAAGGAAGGGTCTATATTCAACATGATGTCCACAGTCTTCTTTATCTATTTCTTTCAGCTCATAGGGAAGTATGGTGAGTATTCTAACATGAGAAAAATTCCCCTCATCTGGTAATTTCACCTTTTAAAAAT